CGATGCCTGCCGGCCTGATTTGACGTATGCAGCGTTGCGCGTCGAAGTCGTGCTCGACTCTGGTGCCTCGCTCACAGCTGGATCAGGAAGCCCTGCCGTCTCATGCCAGCACCCGAGGAGCACATAGACCAATGCCTCAAGCTTCTTCAGCCTCAGGACAGGATCGACTTCTTTCAGTCCTTCCAATAGATTTCGCAAAAAGTCCTCGTGTTGTGTGGTCGTTGCCGTAGCCCAGTCCAAGCCGTCTTCGCCATTGGATACGTCGTTCAAGCCATGGAATGCGCTCCACTCCAACGCGTAGGACGCCTGGGTTTTGAGCAGCATTGCCTGCTCCTCGACCGCATACGAGAACCACTCCTCCAGCTCTTCTTCGAAAGATGATGCGTCATCGTATGTGAAAGCGTACGGGGCAGGCTCGACCTTGGGTATGCCCCTCACGAGGTTCTGCAGTTGCGCGAGCGAAAGCGAGTCATTCTGTGGCGTGTCGGGCGGCGGTACGGGCGGTGCGGGCGGGGGCAGGTTCGGCGCGGGCGTAGGAACTGAATTGCCTCGTTGCAGGCCGGGGCGGGCTGGCAGAGTGAGGGGAGGCCCGGCTTGGGGCTGGTCCTGGTCCTGTTGCAGCAGTATGCGCTGCTGCTCGGCGGTATCGAGGGGCAGATTGAGCTCTTCCTCAGGCTCCGCCTCAATGACGGGGAAATCGGCGCTGGAGTTCCCGATCAGCTCAGCTGCATCCAGTATGGGAGGCACAAGTGGCTCTCCGGGCACGTCGCTGTCAGCCATGGTCGGTCGCGTGAATTATGTGGGCGTGGGGTCGTCGGGTTGGTGGAAACGTGCTGCGCCCACCATGTCTGGGACTCCTTTCACGTGCTGATCATGATCCTGAGACGATTCAGTCTGGGAGAGCAGCGAGGGAGGTGTCTTCACGGTTCAAGAAGGTGAGTTGCGCTGTGTATGCACGGCAGGTGGGATGCGCCGTCCGCTAACGGATGGATAAGCAGGGGCTCCGATTAGCGCGACTCAGGCTAAACATTCATTTATGCGAAGTTCGCATGTTGAAAGCTATCACAACAACAAGTTCTCATAACATTTAGCGATGGGCATTGAATACCGAAAGTGATGTACCATTGCAGAACGCCTCCCTTCTGTAAAATGTGTCGCTAGCCATCAAAAGACGTAAGAGAAGCCTTGGTTGTCTGTATGGGAGAGGCCAACCCAGGCGCACCGCGATCGCTGCCGCCGGATGCAAACGAATAAGAAAACCCCGTCCCTAAAGAGCGAGTGATATCTCCACAACTTTACGCCGAACATAACATAATCTGCCGCACTGCCAGTGCGGACAATGAACACTAGACCGACAGGTCGAGAAAAGAAGTACAGATATGTGTCTCCCGAACATGGCTATCAAGGCAAGGTTGCTATCGCGTCGATGAGATAGTCGAAAAGCGAGGCATCTTCCCAGTTCTACATGGGATTAGCTCCCGTCTGTTCGCCGTTCTCCTGGCGCTCTTTGATCTCGTCGGGTATGATGCCGTTGGCTTCGCATGTGCGCTTGTAGATATTGCACTCGTCCCACGCCCGTTGGCATTCGGCCTTGAACTTGTCGCAACTAGCGCTGAGCTCGGTGATGGCTTGCTCGGTGAGTAGCTTTTCAAGCGTCCACTTTTCGATGTTTTGTTGCTCGTTCTCCTTCAATTGAGTAATGAATTGGACAGCCCGTTGCAGGATGGAGCCCTTGTTCTTCTCGCAGCCAGGGACGATCTTGGCTAGTTCGTTGATTCCCTCGTTGATAGTTTCGCGACGGCGGCGTTCGACTATGCAGCAGTTAGCAACTGTATCTAGGAGGGCTCGCACGGATGCCTACCTTCTTTGTGGTTGTCTCTCCGGACCTTGTGCCACTCATCTGTGCCGACTTGAGGTTTGTGCGCAGAGCTTTGCGGTGGCGAGTCGCTGGGTGCTGTTTGACCGGGACGACCCGTCTGTGTAGCTGCCTTCAAAGCTTCGAGACTAAAGTCTTGCATGCCCGTTTGTTGTTGGCCGTGGTCTCCCATGCTGAAGGAGCCGTCGCCTGAGTTCTGTGGCTGGAACTGGAGTTCTGTCGCCTGGGGGACCGTCATCTGGTGATAGGCAAGCGCTGCGGCGGCAGTGTCGCCAACACTCGCGGTGTTGGTCCCACCGTTGTGGTGTACGTCGAACTGTTGCTGCATGTCGTCGTCGGCGGCGTTATGCGCGGCGAGGAATGAAGCAGTGGCTTGGTCGGTGAGGTCGTTGTTGGCGGAATGGGGAGCAGGTCGGTTCAGGCCTTGATCGCGCGTGTCGCGCTTCCGCTTGTTGGTGTGGACGTTGTGTGCATCCAGCTTGCCGTCGGTAGGGTATCCGGCGGTATCAGCCATGGCGTCTGGTGGGGTATCTGGGAGGGATGAATGGAAGCAGCTCGAATCCGCGTTAAACACTAGGATCGGCGTCGAGGTTCTGCGCGCGGTTGCTGAGACGGCGAGGCCTGGGATGTACAGAGCCTATGGTGAGTGTGGCGCTGAAGTCTGGCTAGAACGAAATGCTCCTTTGGGCGACCCAGAGGTAGCTGGGGATGAGTGAATTAGGCGGGTGACGTATGGGAAGGCTGGTGAAAGTGGCAGAAACGCGCTCGAAGCGTGAGTCGCAGGCGCAAAGCACCCGACTTGGTTGTAAGCCGCGTTGTGCCCACCGGTTCATGCACAAGCCGGAGACGACTTGATGTAGCAATCAAGCGCTTGGGGAGCGCATATGAAGAAAGGCCTGCGTTCGACAAACATTAGCACGGGCGCGAGCAGGTGAGTAGGTCAAGGTGGTGCGACGAAGCCACCAAGCAGAAGGATTGGGCGCGTCCATATGGCCGTTGCTGTGAGACGCAACTGTCATAACCGAAAAGAGAGCCGTCGTATCGTGCGAGCGTGTGGGTCGTAAGAAGAAGTGCACGACGGCGTCGTGCTTCGGTGGAGCGCGGGATGCCGAACACCACCACCGCGGCCAGCGAGCGAACGGGCGGGCCTCGAGGCACCACGACGCCAGGTGCACTTCTCCCAGCAGGCGAGGCCGTGCAGAAGCGCAGGCGCACGTCTATGCAGGGCTTTTCGGCGGTCGCGAAAAGAACCATAATGCTCACTTACCGATAGATGGTACGGCTTCCGAGGTCGTTCGTTTGCGACGTTCGATACACGATATCAGGTGACGGGCGGAGGCGCGATAACTTGCTCGACAAGCAGCGCTCAGGCTCTTGGATTTGGGAAAAGAGAACAGAGAACTGCAGACTCTCGGCTGTCTTCAAGCAGGATTGTTTGTCGATTTCAGCAGAGTTGAACGACCGACTTCTAAGCCCTGGAGCGTTGAATCACGAGGAAGGAGCAGAGATGGTCACATGGGCAGGAGCGCTATTTAGGAAAGGAAGGCACGACTGAGCCAGCGTCCACCCGCGCAGCCAATCAGCTTCTGGCAACACGCCATGCAAGTTCCCCACTCCCTCCCAGCCCGCCATCGCAGCCACTACGTTATCAACAAACCTGTCGACGCGATGCACCTACCTAGGTACTCCGGAGTAGTTGGATTTTCCCATGCACTGTACGCTTTCGCATTATTCGCGCCATCATGTCCTTAGCCAGAGCGACAGGTACTTCATTGCCTACAGTCCCTCTTCGCCACCACGACAGCACCCCCGCCAGCCTCACTGCGATACCAGCGTACGGATGACACCCCTCTAGACCACCTAGGCTCAGCCGACACCTCCAATACGCATTCACATGGCTCAAACAGAGACAAAGGTGTGGCATGTGACACGCTGCCCCCCACATTCTGGGCTATCGTCGACTACGCTATACCCTTTTTGTCATTGGTCCCATCATGCAATACACAACCATTGGGAAGATCGACTCTCACCCATCGCCTTCACTCTGCGCTCGAGTATCGATGTCTCAACTTACGCGCTGCTTACTAGGTCTTGTTGTAGCTGTATCTATCTTGCGAACGGCTCTCGGCTCTCCTCGTCCTCTTGCTAGCAGTCCAAGTATGAGGCCCAGTCTATTGCTTGCTATTCGCTCAAGTGTGATCCGCGGAGACGAACCAAATGTTGATTTCGCATCGGTATAGAAAAATACAACCGAGACAGCCCGTTTGCAATTCTACTTTACATCTCCACCTAGATCATGAACAGTCCAGTGTGCGTGCTCGATGGACGTCTTCATATTATCGGTACAATACATCGTGTGAGGCGGGCCAAATTGGGAGCAGACAGGGAAAAACTGAACACTCTGGAGCCTACATTGCCCTCAGTTCGCCTGCTTTGAGTGTTACTATCTTCATGTAGGCTGCAGGCCTGTTCAGGTTGTTGCTTATGCGAGATATGTTGCAAGAAATCCGATCTTGAACGGTAGATCTGAAATGAAGAATTTGGTAGTGCTAGGAGTACGTTTAGTCCATCTCCTCGTTGGCAAACCACGAAACTACGTGAACCTTGGAAAATCCTGAACATCCTGGAGCCTACATCGACGTCAGGTCACTCACGTTGCATGTTTTTGTCTTAATGTAGTCTGCAGACCTGTTTAGTATAAACTGACAGAGGGCCTGTGTATTCATCACATACGCACGTCAACCTAGGAAAAGTCTACACACCCTAGAGCCTACATCGACGTTAGGTCACCTACTTTGCGTGTTTTAATGTTGATGTAGCCCCCAGACCTGTTCAGGTTTTTTCTTATATAAGGCGTGCGGCATGTTCCGCCAGTCTTGTGTATGAACAGCCTGCGCAAAGTCGCGACTCCATGAATCGTTGTTGATCGTTGCTCCATCTACGCCGTGAAACAGAAGTAAGACGCTGATGCGCCCATTAGCAAGGGCCTGTAGGCTATGAATAACGTGTCGCAGTGTCGCGTAGTAGGGTGCCACTCGGGCTGAGTGACCCTCGGGGTCCAAAAGCGGTAATGAAGATGACACATGGCCAGTTACGAGTTTGAGCCATACGGGCCGGGACTCTGTCATGACGAGAGCACCGTCGGACTCCATCTCCTCGTGGGGGTATCCAGGCTGTTGAATTGTGCCTCCCAAGTGTTGTACAGGGCGCGAAGTCGTGCTGTCACTCCGTGGTCATCGTTTTGGAGGATGGGAGCGTCGGCAAGATTGCTGTCCTTTGGCTCTGGGAGCCGTCGGAAGCAGGAGAAAACGACGTCGTAGATTCGTGTCATGTCGGTGGTGGGGTCGCAAAGGTCAATGTCTGTCCCGAAAATCACCTCGGCAGCGATGGCGCTGGGAGAATCGCTATCTTTAATAGAATATGCCTCAAGATCCGCCGGCAGGATACTCGCAGAACAGTCGCGGGATTGCCCATTCACAAATGTGCGAAGCGGGTTTTGGGTGAGTGGAGGGCGCTGGTTTTGGTCTGCTGGAAGACGTGAGTAAAGGGGCAAATCGCGCTCAGAACGTTTGGCAAATTCCCCATGGACGATTGTACCATCGGATTTGACGCTGGCAAGGAGTGAAATTCGGAAATTGGTCATTTGCGACCAGCGTGTGAATCCTCTCACAGAGGCGCGCCGTCTCAGCCTTCGCCAGAATCGGAGATTAGGCATGCCATGCTGTCTGTTTCCGAGAATCATTACCGAAGCCATAGGTTTGGTGATTCTGCCTGAGTTGAGCTTGATTATCTTATCATGATGGTCGTACCATGCCAGATCTTCGGTTTTCTGTGCAGAGAACGCATCCTCGGCAAAACCGTCGCTGCTGTCCGTGTCGTAATTCAAGTCATCGCCTTCATCCGTTGCGTCCTCGCCCATGACATTGATGAGGCTGTTGATGTTGGGCGGATCATCAGCGGGAATGCTACCAGCTGTGCTGATGGGGATGTCGCCTGCTGACTTCCTCGTGTTACCCGCACCCTTACCATCAAGGTCTGTCCCATCGCTGTCGATACCCGAAGCCTTACCCTCAACGCCCGTTCCATCGCTTTCAATGCCCGAAGCCTTACTCCTGTTACCTACACTCTTACCCTCAACACCCTTTCCATCGCTCTTAACGCCCGAGGGCTTGCCCTTGTCCTCTGCTGCATCGCTCTTGACGCCTGCTGAACTCTTGATGTACACCTGTAGGACTTCCTGTCTGCAGCGGTAGGCTAGACCACCGCTGGTGATGATGCTATGCGCTTCGGTTAAGAACTTCTGTTGTAGTGCTACAGCACGTCGCCTAGTTGAGGGGAACCCTAGAGAACAAATTAACACTTATTTAACAGTTTTAATTAACTAATAATACTATTACTAATATTCTTTTACTTATTTTATCGTAATATATACTATTTACCTATTTTTACTTATAACTTAAGTATACTAATATAGTACTTTAGTTATCTAAGCTTTATTCTCTTCTCTAAATAGCTTTTTTATAAAGTTTATATTTCTTTTACTTATAATTTTTTTTATACTTTATTTTTATTAAAACTTAGTAAGAGTATTAACTTAATACTTAATAACTTTTTTTAATATACTTTTTCTATTATTACTTTAGTAAAAAAAAAAAAAACTTATTTAAAAATAAGCTAGCTAGTTTATAAAATAATATAAGCTTTCTTAATATTAACTTAAGCTATAACTTTATTAGTACTTATACTTTATTTAATACTAGTAATATTTTCTATAAACTTTTAAGCTAAGTTACTACTAATATTATAGCTATAAAGCTTTTTAATTTTATTTTATAGCTATAAAAAGAGTATTTTATTATTAAAAAGAAGAGTAAAAGTAAATAAATTAAAGTCTTTAAAAATTTAACTTAAAAAAAAAGTTTTATAGCTATTAAAGTATATAAATATTTATTTAGTTAGTAATATATAGTAGTAGTAAAGATAAAGAAGTACTTACTAATATAGTAAGTAAAGTAGGTGTTAGAAAATAAAAAAATACTTTTAGAAACTTTTATTTATTACGCCTAGTATATACTTATACACTTTTAGTACTAACTTTATACTTAATAAACACCTATAAATAGGCGTTATATTAATAAATTATAGTACTAAAGTAATTTTTAGTAAAAAATTAAAAATATTAAAATATTAGCTAGAGGCTTAGCGCGCTAAGCTCTATAAAATTTAACTTACCTAATTATAAGTAGGCTGCAGAGGCCTTGCACTTATACTTGTTCCTATATATATATACTGTTGCTTGCAACACTAGATCGATAAAATCAAATTACGTAGTGCCACAGCAAGACCTTTGGCGTCCAAGGCCGACTTCGCGGGCTGCTCCTTGGCGAGTATCATCCTCATGTTCCATGCTGTATATACCCCACAGTCATTCGCGTGTTGTTGGACGACAGTGTCCTTGTAAATAAACGCCGCCGACTTCCACTGGACCTTTGCAAACCGGGAGGCTGGGTGGGTGAGCGCCACCAGCTCAAGAAACTGCCTGAGCTCCGTCTGGTACTTGCGCGCGGTTCGGAGTCGGCGACATGTGTCGTAGATGCGTATTGTTCCTTTGCCCACTAGTTTTCCCATCGCCTGTACTACAAGCCAATGGTCGTTGTTGGGGTTCCAAGCGAAGACAAACGACATTGCCGTGTCCAGTTCGGGGATGACGAAATCGGGTGGTAGAGCTTGTCGAATGACCGCGGCGATGTCCGGGCGTCTCTCAGTGTTAGTCGACATCCCAATGCTTGCCATGTAGATTGGTTGAGCTGTGGCGATGTACACCAGGTCAGAAGAAAACTGCAGAGTGAAGTTAGTATGTATCGCACATGCACTTCGCATAATCAAGACGTACCTCGTCTCGACTCCCGCCGTTTTCCACGAGGAAGTCAACGGTAGTTGCGGAAAGCCAAGCGCTGGAACTGGAAACCTCGATAATTGTGCTGACGCTCACTAGCCATGGCTGTAGTTGGATGAATTTCAAGAGGATAGTCCCATCGGACTCTTCGTATAGCTTCATCGCGATGAGGACGATGTCGCGCAGCATTCCGGCGCGTGGACACGTCTTCATACTGGCAGTCAGTTCCAGAATGTAGGCGGATGCGCGGTCCAAATCTGTTGCCTTGGTAAGCTGCATTGCCTCAATGTCCGACTTGCTTGGTGGCTGCGACAGGTCGACAGTCAGCTTAACCCTTTTCCGAGACTTAGGCTCTGGGGGCTGCGCGCTACTCTGACTGAACGGGATGGCGACGCCATAATCTTCGTGGTCGCCGTTGTCCGGAGGAGGAGACCAGTCGTCCTGTATGCCGAGTGTTCCAATGGGGGTGGCAGTGGCAGTAGATGCTGCCGTGGGAGCGGGCGTCGCGGTTGCGATGGACGTCGCGGTTGTAATAGGGGTGGCGGTTGTGATAGGGGTGGCAGTAGCAGTACATGCTGCGGTAGGAGTATGTATTGCGGATGTGATGGGCGTCGCAGATGTAATGGGGGTGGCGGTTGTGATAGAGGTGGCAGCTGTGATGGGGATGGCTGTGGCATCTAATGCTGCTGTAAGAGTAGGCGCTGCGGTTGATGTATTAGCTGCGGTTGGTATAGGCGCTGTAGGAGTGGGCGTCGCGGTCGTGATAGGCGTCGCGGTTGTGATGGGGATGGCGGCTGTGATGGGGATGGCTGTGGCGTTGAATGCTGCTGTAAGAGTAGGCGCTGCGGTTGAGGTATTAGCTGCCGTTGGTATGGGCGCTGCGGGTGAGATTTTGGCTGCAGTTGACATGGGCGCTGCGGTGGTGATGATCGCGGTGGTGGTGATCGGCGACTTTCTTGCATCGAATTCTGCTGGGGGTTCCTGTCCGTTGCCGGCTTTATGCTCCGTTGTCGGAGTCTTACTAGCCTTCGGCGTAGAGGGGGGCGGTGTCTTGGGTGCTAGGGGGTTCTTTCCGTCACCAGCTTCGTGCTGAGCTGGCGTAGTCTTACTAGCCTTCGGCGTAGAGGGGGGCGGTGTCTTGGGTGCTAGGGGGTTCTTTCCGTCGCCGGCTTTATGCTCAGTTGTCGGAGTCTCACCAGGCTTCGACGTAGAGGCGGGCGGTGTCTTGGATGCTAGGGGACTCTTTCCGTCACCCGCTTCATGCTGAGCTGGCGTAGTCTCATCAGGCTTGGACGTAGAGGCAGCGGGTGTGCTGTTCTTCTTGTCGTATGCTTCTCTGTGTGTCTGGTAGGCCCGCGTGGCTCTGAACTTGTTGGCGGCGTTTACCTCCTCCCTCAGGAAGGGTTGGTAGTCCGGCTCTCGTGAGATCCGATTCATGGCCTCAATCTCAATGCGCTCTCGTCGGCTCTGGTAATGAGGCATGCTGGGCTGAATGGAGTGGGCAAAGCCAGGACTGGACAAAGACAACGTGGAAGAGAAGAGCAGAAGGGCAACGAAAGCGCAGCGAAAACACGCTCAATATGCTGTGGCCCCGCATTTTGGAATTGATTGTGCGCCATGTCTTTCTGTTCGAGGAAGCTGCGCAGGCGCAAATTTGCGGGGCGGTGCGTTGGAGGAAGTCGCGTTCGGGGACGACGAGCCGTACTGGGCATGGGATCCCATCTCACCCACATGGTGCCAGGTAGAGAGCGTCTGTCTGGCTGCAGACCAGAGGCATCATGTTCCGTAGAGCTTAGCAAGACAGAGTCCGCTTCACAGTGAGGTAGGTATGCTGGGGGTGCATTGGCGACCCGAGTGGATGCCTTTACAGTGTTAGTTGTCTATTAAACGCCATGAAAACTGCCACAAGGACGACAGCTAGCAAAGAGAGCTTCTTTCTTGTTTACCTGATTGTTGTAATGCAATACATCGTGCTGCAGCGCGCAAGTTAAGCCAAATTGGCCACAGCAACGAGCGCGATGCTTGCGATGCCTGCGATGCCTGCAATGCCTGCAATGCCTGCGCGCTGCAGCAGTTAGACGACTAAAGACTGCAGTAGCCGGGGAGCTGAAGATCTGGTGCGAGCACAAACATCCTAAGCATTGGGATATGTGGTACTTGAATACGGAGAGTTGTAGGTAGGTTGGAGTCTTCAAGTTAGTGGAGAGAGACCCTTGCGGTTTAGCGCTGTTCTGAGCGTGGGTGACGTCATAGATCCTGCGCTGGGTTTAGACAAATTGTGAACGTCAACCAGGGTACGACGGATTACCGCTTACATCCAGCGAATCAGTAGCCACACCAACGAAGAACATTCATTCAATAATGTCTTCCAAACGCCCGTTCACCGACCGTGCTTTCTCCTCCCACAAACGTTCACGATCTGAGAACACTGCACACAGTGCGCCCTCTTTCTTAATAGAGACTGCACGTCTCTCTCTACATTCACCTTTTGCTTCTGCAGGAGATATACCGATCATGGAGCCAAAGATTGATACAAGATGCGCCTGGCGACTCGGTTGGCCCAGGCTGCGAAGCCTGCCACTGCAAAGTCTGCCAACGACCACCAAACACTTGGTCGCCCACCAACCCGCGATCAACAAAATCTTAGGCACTCATAGCGTCAGCACTCTCGGTCCTGTTCGATACGTCGCGCGGACAAGGCCTACAGAACTGGCCACCTCCCACCCAACGATCGTATTCTATACGGATCTCGGAGAGCCGCGCCAGTACGAGCACTGCGCCTCTGCAGTCCAAGAAATCGCTCAGTATATACTATCCAACAACATAGACGCTTCGATCGAAGCTATCGACCGAGTGGTCGGCGAGAGCTTCACAGTCGCACCATTACAAGGACCGACGGCGGCAGAGATAGCGCGTTATTGGGCGAGCAAGAGACGAACCCTTCTCCGTACGATCGCGAATAGGAAGTGGCTGAGCCTTGACTGTGTTAACCTTGGAAAATCCACCGACGGTCTAAAACCTACTATCGTCATCACGGCATCAGACGCAGACGCAGATGTGTGGGACCAGATTATAGCGAGAATCAGCGTTCTCTTTGACTACAAGCTGGAGGTAGAGCTCCTGTACGGACAGCGCAGTAGGATCGATCTGGCGGATGCTGTGGGAGATACCGAAGAGGCGGAGATGTCGGATATTTCAACCGAGGTAGAGGAAGAGGCGGACTTCGCAAGCAAGGAACTGAAGAAACCCAAGGGTATCGCGAATGAGTCGGAAGACGAAGAAATCTGCCGTCCCTCGCATTTCTCTACCGACATCTACCCTGGTACATCTGTAGGAGTGAAGGGAGGCGCATCAGGAAGCGTCGGTGGATTCCTGAAGATCGAATTCCCTGGACTGCCTACTCCCGCCACCCAAGTCGGTCTAATTAACTTCCACGTACTATGGGGAGGTGACGAGAAGCCAGTGCAACCGCCTCATCTGAGGGAAGCTTCTTGCGGCTCGGTCACCGTAGTAGTACCATCAGATCGCGACAAGACCCGGTACGTCCGAAGACGCAAACTCATAATCAACAAACACAACAGATATCTCCGCGACGCAAGTTCGAAGCATCAAGCTCTAGAATCCGAGAGCCATCGGTCCAAAAGGCAGCAATGGCGAGAAGAAAGAGAAGAAGAGCGCAAAGAGCGTAAGCGGGTGGAAGAGGCATCCAACGTTGCAGGAACAACATGGGCAAGCTCAGCAAAATCCTCTCGTCCTCATCCCAGGTACACAGCGAAGCAGCATGAGAATTGGACGGAACAAAGCCGCAGTATCAACGATACAACCGAGGGCCCAGCCCTGGAGTGGGACATTGACTGGTCGCTATTCTCGATAGACGCACCTCGCTTGGCGGTATCAAAGACTCCGCGTTCAACTGATTACCGGCACTCTGCATCAGATTCGGAGATATCCGAATGGGGTTCGATACAAGAAGATAGAAGCTATGAGGTCGTCAAGATCGGTAGGACTTCAGGGTGGACAAGGGGAGTCGTCAACCGTGCAATGTCCATACTCAACACCAGCGTACATGCATCTAAGGAAATCAACAACACAGGTGGGAAGACCGACACCTTCAAACCGGTACTCTGCCACTCCATAGTATCTATGATGCGAGACGGAGCCCCTTTTATATCCCCAGGGGACTCAGGTTCTCTCATCCTCCTTAATGAAGAACGTCACGACAACCAGGCGTGCATTGTTGGCCTCGCTATAGGGGGTAACAAAACAACAAACATCGGTTACATGGCACCGATTGATCTGATATTGATGGACATTGAGGAAAAGGTGCAAGGAAAGGTAGTATATCCAGTGTCGGTGGGTATTAAATTGGGAGCGGACATGGACTCTTGATCGGTCCGGCGAGTAAAGAAGTATGAATATGAAGTAACGCATTCAGGAACATCCATGTCTAGAGGGTGATGGATGTAAGCAGCCAAGAGTCTACATCACGTTGGAATTTTGCCAGTTTCTGTTCTGATACTAATGTAGACTGCAGCTCACCTCTACAGTTTAACCTTTGAATGCGCTAATAATGCGAGAAGTTTAGGTTTTAATGGACAAGTTATCTACAATATGATAATAATCAAGAAATTTAACAACAATAGTACATAGTTAAGCTCTAGCGCATGGGGCTGATGTTATAGGAATAGAAAAGGTACTCCAAGAGAGGAGGTATGGCGGTACCGTCCTGCACCAGGAGAAACTCATGCGTGGCGGATGACGCGGTTAGCCGGCTACCGCCAGTGCGAAACTCGACGACGATGGGTTAGGAGCGAAGAAAGGGCACATTGCGGGCGCTGTAGTTATGGTATAACCAAAATGGGTATAAACTAGGGCTAGACGTTGGGACGATATGGCGTATTAGTTTGTACAGGCCAGGGGATGGACACCCATGGTGATCCCAGCTTGAAACTGGGCAACGGGCTGATGCGGGACTTGGTTGGATGGGGACATAGGGAGTTCAGAAGTGGAGCAACGCCCGCGGCGCTGCTTCGCACCACTGCAGTGTCAGGGAATGAGGCGGATCAACCAAATATCGCCACGCACCTTTTCCATGCAAAGAAGGATGTTTGGCCATGTAAGAACGCAGGGCAATTAGACGAGGAGGAAAGTCATACCGTAGGATAACCTCGTAGAGCGGACGGATCGTCACTAGATATCATAGACAAGGGGATGGGACTCGGCGTCTTCCCCACCCCCACCCCACCCCTCGGACGACTCTCAGTATAGCACCACCAGCACTACGGCATTACAGACTCTGCTTCGGCATCCACTCTAGTCCTTTATCGAGAACAACATCATCATCGGCGCAGCAGTATGAGCCAAAAGAGAATATTAGAAGATGCTGAAGTCGCGCAGGTGGAAGACACCAGCTGCAAACGTGCCAGAGTATACTCGTCTACGCCCTACCCCAGAAGAGACGTCAACGCGAAGAGGAGAGAGACTGGACACAGGAGCGACCCGATCCACATCCAGACCTCGCGTCCCAAGGCGCTTCTACGCCCTACCCCGGAAGAGACGTCAACGCGAAGAGGAGGGAGACTGGACACAAGAGCGACCCGATCCAGATCCAGACATCTTCTCAAGGCGCCTCCTCTGTCGTTCCACCGTCCACGCCATTATGTCGAAATGACCTAATGCCTCCGCCGTTTCCAGACCCAAAATTCGCCAAAGCCATTTTGTCTTCGGACTACGGATCGTTTCCGGAAGGGACCCAGTCATCACATCATGGGTCCTTTGCAGTCCTCTCGTCTCCAAGGAATGTCCAACAGGCCTCTCCCACTCCCGCAGCACCAACATGAAGTCTCTTCTTTTCTGCCATGTCTCCCACAACAGGGCCGGACAAGAGAGTCACAGGGAGTATCGTGCGCAGATACAGGCCCCTATCTGACTAGTCTGCTCGTCGACTACGAACACGTCGGAGAACCAGACCCTACATACATTCCAACAACATGCTCGACAAGCAGGGGGAGTGGCAACGAGTTCGCAACACCCTATGCGACTCCATTCAAAGAGAGGACCGCTTTGGGGTCTGCTCGAGAATGCGCAGCGGCCGGCACCCGTACAGATCTCGACGCCAGCGATATGGCGAGCTGCGGTGGTCACAGGAACCCGGTAGAGGAAGGAGAGGACTAAGAGAAGGAAGAGGACCACGAGGATCAGAAGAACGACGGAGATGTAGATGGCATGGACATCGCGCCTCTCAGGCCATGCATCGTCACCCCCTCCACTTCTACTTCGCAAAGACAAGAACATGGGGACATGGACACGGACATCGCGCCTCTCAGGCCATGTATTGTTACCCCCTCCACTCCTACTTTGAATGCATCAGAAGCTGGGGACATCGACATGGATGTCGCGCATCTCAGGCCACGCATTGTTACCTCCTCTATCTCTACTTTGGACAAATAAGAAGCAGGGGACATAGAGGTTAGCGCTTCGGATCACACTCACTACACAAAGATAAAGCGCCCACGACACGAACTTCCCATTCGAGCTCAATGTCCACCCATCCAGGGCGTCGATCAAGGTTCGTACTCGTGTGCGACTTGACACCCTACAGCTGCGGGCCACTCCATCTGATCTGGTGGGGAACCATGACTCAGGCGCTAAGACATGTATGTGCAATGTGTGATTTCTATATCTGACATACTACCTGTCATCCTCAACGTCCATGTATACCCTGCTATTCCATCTACCTGCAGCACTTCCAGAAGGTCCTGCACATATCTCCGCTTCACAAACGCCAGCCCAATGCGATACTCAAAACTTTCATGTTGCTCTCCGTTCACAGTCTTCGTGACTTCCTTCAACATGAATCATCCCCAGCCTATGCTACGACATCCCAGAATTGAAACCTGCGCATGTCGGGTATTTTTCCAGCATGAACTTCATCTGGAGTATAGTAAATATCTCGAGCAAAGATCGAGATGGTGTTGATGGTGCATGGACGTGTGCCGTAAACAGCGACGACTTTCTGATAGATCTCCATCGCGATGGTCCTGCAACTGACTAGGGTGACAGGAGAGGGATCAGTGTGAACAGGTTGGCAGATCAACTGCCACTCCTCCAGCTTCTCGAATAGCGACAATTCGGCAGCGAGGCCGCGTATTCTCTTCTTAGCTTCTTGAAAGAAGCGACCATGGTCCAACGAAAGTGCGATCTGTTGACATCGGAAACCGAGTACTTTGAGGCTCTTGTGGTTTGCGCGAAGTACCTGAAGCGTCGCCATGTTGAGTGAGGGTACACCGAGACTCAATATACATACTTCAAGGTTGCTGTGTGAGCTGAGAATGTGCGCATCAAGATTCGTTTGCCAATCTGCACAAATCTCCACTTCGACTGTCTTCAAAGTTGAGAATGACCTGCAGAAGGCCGCGAAACCGAATGCCTCATCTGGCTTGAGAGATTCTTTATAGCTGTGTATGGAGATCTTGAGCGTGTGCAGAAGAAGCGGTTCCTTTGAGCTCATCAGATACTCGAAGACCTTCTCTAGGTAGATGGATTGCTTGAGCTGGGGGACGCGAAGGGAAGTGATGTTGAATGAGGTGTACATAGCAGGCGGTAGTTGTTGGAGGTTCAGGCCAACGAGGCTCAGCTCTCCGAGCCAAAACAACGGGTTAGACCTGACGAGAAGGCTGAAGTTGCGGAAGGGGTTCTGCAATTGAAAGGACTGATTGTCTCGCGTTGGGTTGTCACGGCCCAATACCTCCAGCTTGTCGATACATCGGGTCTTTATACCCATCGTCCTTATGATGTTCCGTGGTGCATGAAAAGGCGTGCCAAAGTGCGGTCTGGAATCGCGATATCCTAGAACGCTGATCTCCCTTGTCATAGGACTCGCTAGTTGCTTGTGGGATTGGAACGTGATTATAGCCGAATGGTTAAAGACGCCGTCATGTGGAGAAGTACCAAGCTCGTACCGGTCGCGCCAGAAAGTTTCCCAGGCGGAACGCATTGGGAGATCGAGGTTGCGAAGTTTGGATCTGAGTAACCTGCCCCGCTCTTCGCTGGTGAGAAGACTGTGGAGCTGAGTGTAAGACTCTCCGTCTAGAGCACCCACAAAGCGTAGCGACACCGGACTGAGCTCCGCCAAGCGTGCAAGCAGAAGTCTGAACAAAGCAGTTCCACGATCGGTTTCCAGTACTGTAACGCTAAGATGCTTAGTGAACCGTAGATGTTCGAGCATTCTTAAGAATTGAGACGTAGTTGTCTTTGATATTAATCGGCCGATCACCATGTCGAAGTCCCGAAATATGGCCTCTGTCCCAACTCCGTGCCAGGCCTTGCACGTCATTGAGAATTGAATCTGGCTTTGCCTCTCGCACTACTCAAGTCAGCTTCGACACTTTACTGGCGCGACAGTCGCGTTACGACTGAATTTGAGCGAAGACTAAGGCATACTCACGTAAGCAAGTACCATCAATCTCAGTTCATCGGGAAGATCTACGGCGGTCGTGTATTGCGTAGTTACCGTAGCGGCAGCCAATTCTTTGCTGGCGCGAGCCGCGCTGCAAGTCGTCTTATCCCTCACCGTCTTGCGTCTTGCGCTGGTCCTAGGGGCGGCATGCTTGTTCGAGGCGCTTTCTGCAACCTTGCGGGTGTCTTGTCGCTCTGTCGATGTGGATTCCGCCGCTCGCTTCTGCTCCTGCTTCTTCTTGTCGTCGGTGCTTGGTGAAGGAGATCTGCGCCGCTTGTTGGCCTTCTTCGTCTGATGGTAATCGCGAGCCATGGCGGGTGTTCAACAAAAGTTGCGAAGCGCGATCTCGGTGTCAGTAGCTTGAAGAACGTCGAACGTGACATCCAGAGTAGGGAAGATCGATAGGTCTGTGCGTCTTGGTCACCTTCACGTGAGAGTGAGAGACGCGCTCGCAACAATCGACGGACGTGAAGCACGAGCCGACACGGCCGCCGGGGTCCGGCAGGCAGCAATAAGACCAGGAGTTCTCTCACCCTTCCCTCACCTTTCCACTTACTTTCTCTCACCTTACCGCTTCTCTTCTCTCACCTTACCACCTCTCTTCCGTACTCTTCTTTACATTTTTACCTCCTAAACCTTCACTCACCAGGATGGATCGCTGCGTTTACGATGTAAGTCGACCGTCCTACGAGGCCCATCATGCTGCCCCCAGACCTGATGGTCATACCATGTGTACAAAGGGCCCGCTACGCTGTATGACGGGTTCTTTTCGTCATCTGTGAGAGCGGGCTCCTCGTGCGGGTGTTATGGGTAGCCACGGACCGAACGGAAGAAACGTGCGCTTGGCCGCTCATCTCGCGCAAGAGTTCTTGGAACTATGTTCCTTGGGCTGGACCTTGAGCACCCAACTGGGCGAGGACGTTCAATAACCGCGAGACGGACGTGAGTGACGGTACCACACGAAGGTCTCGAGACCTAGGCGAGAGCGTGTTGGGGCTCTTGCTGACGATCGAACGGCGCATCCCAACGCGCTCCGATGCGCATGTTGACATATAGTAAGCCCCCAACTCTTGCTTTCGCGAACACATAACCCCCTAATAGATTACCCGATCCCCGGGCCAATACAACGGCGGAGATGTACGAAGGGAGGTCTCACGAGAGCCTAGGTGCGAGCTACGCTGGGGGCTTGTACTGACGAAGCGGAGGATAATTACCTACTCTTTTTTTGTTGATTCTACTGCTTTAAGCAGTGTGTTGAAGAAGAGAGCTACTCGGGATAATAAAGGCAATACTAATTACATTAGCTAAGTAGTCTTTGAACGTTCCGTGTCGTTTGCTACTGTACAGATACTTCCTTCCTACTGTATTTATGTTACTTCTGCTAGTATAATTATCCTCTATAATCTCTTTACCACCGACAGTGTTAATCTAATACGCCGTGTCTATGCTTTGTATCTAATGCAGGTTAAGCGTGATGCACGCGTTTTATGTTAACATATAGTAAGCCTCTAACTCTTGCTTTTGTAAGTATATAACCTAGTCGTAAGATACACGCATAATCCGCTCTATATTATACTAGTATGCAGAAGTAAATTAACAGTCGTAGCCGCTAAGAATTTGTTTAGAAATATTATATAAAACATTGTAACTATAGCTCTTATATTTTACCTACAGCTATTATTACTTATATAATTATATATTTTATAATATATTTTATTTACTCTAGCTAGCTATTCTATAACTCTCTAAACTTTAAAGTTAGTAAGCTTTATATAGTAGCTTACTAGTATAGCGTTAAATTATTTCTTTTATAGCTTATTTATAAAGTTAATATTTATACTAAAAAATTTTTATTCTACTAGTAATAGTATAAAGCTAAGTATCTAAAGTTATTAAAGAAAGCTATTTATAGCAGCCTTCTTAGTAGTTAAAAAAGTTTTTTTAGTAATTATTAATTCTAATATATTAGCTATATCTTTAATACTAATACTATAATATACTATAAAGTTAGCTAAGAATAAAGTAATACTCTTTTATATTCTATATAAATATATTAAAAAAAAAAGATAATAATAAAAAAGAAAAAACTTAGTACTAGTAAGATAAACTTACTTATAGTAGTTTCTATAAAGTAAAAGCTTTTATAGAAAATACTTTTAAGTACTATTATAAAAGTAAGATAGATTAATACAGAATTATATAAATGTAAACCTCTACTAGATAATCTAAGTAGAGCTACTACTTATAAAAAAGCTCTTTAAGTACCTACGCTAGTAGAGCCTACGCTTACGTAGGCTAGTATAGTCTAAAAAAGTCTAAAGAAATCTAGAGTAGTCTATAGCTAAGTAGCTATAATAAAGTTTTTCTTTTCTTTAGAAGTGTATTCTATATAAGATAGAAGATTAAAAAAATTTAGAGAATTATATAAGTGCTAAGCTCTAGCTAAAATATAGCCTATATATTAATATTAAAGAATCTCTTTTTAAACTACCTACCTAGACTTTTTACTTCTATTTATTATTTAGTAAGTATTTCTAAATTCTCTATATATTAAGATTAGTCTAGACTACTTTAGATTAGAGTAGATTTAGGTTAGCCTAGCGTAGCTTAGCTCTACTTTTTTCTTTCTTTTACTAATAAAAATAGAAGCCTATTAATTAATATAATTTAGCGTAATTTAGTATTTTTTTACACTATTTATACTCTTCTTATACTATTTAGAGCTTCTTAGTAATAACTAGTAGTATTTAATACTAATTTAGTTTAGCGTTTCTTAACTTAGTTTAATCTATATTAATCTAGCTATAATATAAGACCTCTAGACCTAGAGTCTAAAGGCTGCTTATACTACTACTAAGTTTAACTCTAATAGCTATATTTAATATAGTAATACTCTATATACTACTATTAAAAATAGTTATCTATCTTTTTTAGCGTCTTACTACTATCTAAGAGATAAAAACTATAAAATATAGATTAGTATTTCTTTTTAGAGCTATCTAAACTATTTTATACTAATCTAAACTTTATAGAGTAGAATAGTAGTTATACTAGCTTATAAAATTAATAAGAAGAAGGCTAAGACTTTTCTATACTACTATAACTATAATTTAGTTAGCTAAGATTACTTTTAGGTATATAGTACTACACTAGTATAATCTAGACTAATCTAGGTCTATCTAGCTTTCTAAGTACTCTATCTTTATAATTCTAGTAATCTAGACTAAGATTTATATAATATATTCTAAAGTAGCCTTAAACACTATAGTTTATAATATTTTAGATACTTCTAAGAATAATAAAGTAGCTCTAAAAAAGTTAGTTAAGGCCTAAGCTACTAAGTTTATAATATAAGTAATCTAGACCTATCTATATCTATCTATATTAATCTAGATAAAAATACTATTTAGTATATTAATAATAAGTAGACTCTACTTTACTCTAGTAAGTATATCTTCTTTAATACTAGAGTTCTTAGTATTACTTAGAAGTCTAAGCTTAGCTATAGAAGTAATAGTACTTCTAAGACTTTATTTAAGTAAGTAAGTATATCTCTATCTATTCTAGTCTAGACTTATTTAATCTAGTCTAAAAGAAGAAAGTTATAAATACTCTAGAGAAGAAGGTTAAGCGCTTAGAAGCTAAAGTTAAGACTTTTATAGAGTTACTATTTATAATTAAGAGTAAGCTATTTAAGGCTATATAATAGTCTTAGACTTTACCTAAGTCTAGACTAGAATAGAGAAAGTATAGGTAACGTCTAGACTTACTATATAAACCTCTAGATTCTATATATAGTCTCTTAAGCTCTAAGCTTTATAATATTCTATTAATACTTAGTATATTTTAACTCTAAGGCTAGTCTATAATATTTATAAGGCTTCTTCTTTACGCACTATATATAAGTTTAGAAATAGACTAGCTAAGCTTAAGAAATAAAAATAGCTAAAAATACTACTTTATAAGTAATTCTAAGCTAACTATACTAAATAGCCTAAGACTATATAGAAAACTACGCCTTATTTTAAATACTCTAAGCTTAAAATAAATACCTTACTTAGTGCCTTAAGGCCTTAAGTATATAAATTTCTACTACGCTCTCTTTTAATAATACGCTATAGAAAAGAAGTACTACTTCTACTATAAAAGCGTCTATTAGTAGCTTTAGCGCTAGTGTAAACTCTTTATTTCTTTCTTCTTCTCTACCTATATATATAGATAAGCGCAGGCCTTTTTAGATAGAGAAGCGCTTTAGAGGTAATAAAGTATACTTTTAGGTCTAGAAGGTAATAATTAAATATAAGCTAGTAATAGACTAGAAGTTT